GGACTGGTGGCTCCCCACCCTTTCTTCGGACCAGTGGCTTGAGTTGGCATAGACTTTTTTTTTTTTTTTTTTTCCCCCCGAATAGCCCTTGTGTAAACCCTCTATCCCGGCGGTGGTAAGAAGATCGAAAAGCAAACAAGTACACTTCAAAGTGCCTATGTGGGTTGATGGGGTTAGCGCTGCGTGACCCGTGGGCGGCAAGGCCCGTCCGCCAGGTTGCGTGCAAGATGTCCGGGTGAGGAGGACGATCACATCCGCCATCGCTCAAGGACACCAATATCGACGCCCCACCGTCCCCTTGTGGGCGCAGAAGCGGGAAAGCCCGCGTGGAGGCAACGACAAGTGACTGCGCCAACGCCGATGAGATAGACGCAAGTGCAGATAGGTGATGCTGGGGAGTGGAGGCACGGCATCAGGAAGGAGGGGTAACACTATGAAGAAGGGAGTAAAACCATCATGTGCGGGCCTCTGGAAACGTAGTGTGCATGCGGAGGTAAGACTGCATTCACAATCAACAGGGTGTGGAGGGGGCTACAGAGGACACGGCACGAAGACTGGATACGATTCGGCCACGAGACATGGTCAACTGCGCACGGCGTGTAAAGAGGACGCCGTATTATCGACTACGTGTGCACTATTGGAGAGGAGGCTGGAGAGAGGATAGGGTATAGCACGTGGAGAGGAGCAAAGGGGCAGATGCAGGTGCGTCCTGGGACATGCTACGTGTGAACTATTGGAGCAGGGGCGAGAGAGGATAGGGAAAAGTACGTGGAAAGGAACAAAGGAGACGTTCAACATGCATCCTGGGAGACGACTAACGACATGAGATTGTGGTGGTCAGCACAAGCGAACGTGATCAGTGGAGGCACGGTGCGTGATCTCGACACGGGGGGTAATTTCCTTACTTCACGCGACCCGCCCAGCCCTGCCCTCCTCACACATCCCTCCCCTGGGCCGGCCTCGAGCCACCATCCTCTTCCCCCTTCCCTTCTGCTTTTCGCTCAGATCCGATTTCGACTCCTGACACAACAATGCTGCACTGCCCCACACCCCTGGTTCCTCTTCCCCCTTCCCTTCTGCTTTCCGCTCAGATCCCATTGCGACTCCCGACACAACACTGCAGCACTATCCCACACCCCTGGTTATTGCCGAAAATGACGTAGTGACTCCACACGCTTGGATCGCCGATCGCTACAATCACAACTAATGCCATTCAAATTCAAATTCAAATTCAATTTCTTCACAGCTATGACCTAGGTGATAAGGATACCTAAAACATACAGTGGCCGCTTGCTGCATACGACCTTACTATGCGCAAATGACAAGGGCTGAATGACACCTGGACCCTGCAGCTGAGCATAACTACGGTGATTCCCGTTGCACTGAACATTCCAGTAAAACATTGTCAAAACACACAAACCAAAGTGTGGGCACGGGAGCGACGGGGCCAATGGCCCCAGCCCCGGCAAAAATTATGACAGGAGAAAAGGAGAAGAGCTCTTGGAGCAGCAAAGTGGTGAATTCGATGGAAACACCTAAAGATGCCGCCTCCACCTCGACAGGAGCCAAACAGGCGCCACCTCAACTGCTCCAAGCGCTGTCCGCCCCGGGCATCATTGAAGCCAGGGGGTCATCCACACTGGCCTCCATGGCCCCCCTTAAAAGCCACTTCATACAGCAGTTGTGTGTTGAACCCGACAAGAGGTTTCAGGTGAGGAAGGGCTATATCTATCCCCACTTCATCTTCCCTGCCCAGGCTCAAGCTACACGTAATGCAATCTACACACACAAGGCATTGCAGTTCCGCTTCTCTGCTTCCTTGTCGACAACACCAATCAACGACAAAGTCAAATGGATCACAGAGAAACTGGCAAGGATCAAACCAGATCATCGCCTCGCCCATGAACACTTCCTTATAGAAGTGGAAGATTCGGTGTGCATTACCGTCGTAGCATTGTACACGACAGATAAGCACATTTTACTCAAAAACAAGACACTACAATTCAGGGGCATATCGGTAAATGTTTCGGCCTGGTCCCCGGCCAACCCCCTGTCAACCGATGAAAAACGAGAATTCCTCATGCAGACTAATTTCTGGGTGGAATTCCGTTTTGCCCCTCTTTGCGTGCAAGGGGCCATCCTGACTGACCTGGAAAACATAGCCCATGTCAAAGGCTATATCACGGACCTCCCCCAATTTCTGGGAAAAAGAGACGACTCCTTGCTAGTGGCGGTTGACTGGGATACTGGTTGCCCCTTTCCCCTGAATAAGGAGTGGCGGTACTCCTATGGTGGTAAGGAATTTTCAGTACCGGTCAGTCACACCCAGGATCCGTGGTGCTACGTCTGTAAATCTGCGGGACATCTATGCTCGGACGACGCCTGTCCAAACTCCCATAAACAGAGAATTCAAGGACTAGTTGTCCCTCACCCGGAGGATGAAGAAAGATCATTCCCGGAGGAGAGAGAGTTGGAAGGGTGGGAACTCAGGGTATATGCAGATGGGCAGCGAGGGAAGTAGATCTGGCAAGGGAAAGGGCACCCGGAGGCCTTCCCGGTGGGAGCCAGACACGAAGTCAGAGAGGACTGCAAACAGAAGGGGAAATGGAGAGAGGCCCCCCAACCGGCTCCACATGATGAGAACAAGGAGCGACCATCTGCGCTTGGGGGACTGGAGGGAGCTGGAAACAACAAAACGGAGGGAGGACAAAAAGATGAGAGGAAGAAGCAGGACAAATCACTCCCCCTCCCCCGGCCTCCCAAGGCCGGCCTGACCCCGGTACTGCATCCCCACCCCCATGTGTACAAACCAAAGACTGTGATGAAGGAACCCCCCCCCCCTCCCCCTTTGCCCGTGGAAAGGGACACCAAGATAACAGAGGGAGAGGGGAGCGAGAGGGCCACAGTCAAGCCTGATGAAGCAGGTCCGCAGGTGGCCAAAGGTAAGCCGCTACAGGGCATAGCCAGAGACTTGACAGTGGCAGAGAAAATCCCGCTCCCAAGACCGGCATGTAAACCACAACAGACACCATCAACACCGAGCCTTGCATCAGCACCTCTGCCACTACCGGCCCCGTCACTGCATCCCCCCCCCTATGTGTACAAATCGAAGACTGGGAGGAAGGAACCCCCCCCCCCTCCCCCTCTGCCCGTGGAAAGGGATACCAAGATAAAAGAGGGAGAGGGGAGCGAGAGGGCCACAGTCAAGCCTGATGATGTAGGTCCGCAGGTGGCCAAAGGTAAACCGCCACAGGGCATAACCAAAAACTTAACAGTGGCTGAGAAAATCCCGCTCCCAAGCCCGGTATGTAAACCACAGCAGACAACTGCATCAGCACCTCTGCCATTGTTCCCACCTAGTGTGACCGGCGCCAGTGACCTCCAGCTGCAACTCAATAAGAAAACAGACCCCCCCCCCCCTCTGACCAGGACAATGGGGGACTTGATCAACCACCAAGGACTGCCCGCGCCCCAACACCTGCAGATACAAAATGCTGAGGTCAGGGCCGCCAAACCTGGGGAGGCCGTTGATGGGGTGCAGTTGGTGACGCAGCAACGAAGGCGAGTGCCTGACGATCCCCCTCCGCCGCAAATCGAGATGGTACTGGAGCTGGAGGTGCAGCGGCACACTGATGGGCTTCAACAATCCTCTCACAACTCACCACAGCTAGAGGTGCAGCAGCACACTGGTGGACCTCAACAGTCTTGCCACAACCCGCCGCAGCTGGAGGTGCAGCAACACACTGATGGGCTTCAACAATCGTGTCACAACCCACCACACCTGGAGATGCAACAACACACTGGTGGGCTTCAACACTCTTGTCAAAACCCACCACAGCTAGTGCCTTCGGTGCCACGGCAACACAACAAAACGCTGACACCGCAAGGAATGTGGGTGAAAGCTAACTCACTTCTTAATAAAATCAAAGGGGCCGCCTTTCCCTTGCTCCAGGAACCGTCGTCCCCTGAAGCCCCGACAAACGGACCACCGAAAGCCAACGAAATGGCACAGAATGACAATTGTTGCCAGGAGGTAATTCCTCATCCACAGCAAGGCCCGCACAGACAACAGGATGGTTCGGGCGGGGCTGAACAGCAAAGTCGTCACCTCCCCCATCAGATAGGGGTTGATGGACAGGGATATGCCAAGGACCGACCTAGACAACCGGGTGACCCGGGAGGAACTGAGCAACAGCGTCATCACCTGCCCCAACAAACGGGGGCGGGAGGGCAGGGGTGTGCCATGGACCGACCT